ACTCCTATAGATGGGAGGTGAGTTGTCTGACAGAAAGGGAAAGAACGAAGCAAATTCCTAAGTAGTCATTCCGGAAATGAATGAGACAGTGAAGGATCTAAGGTCAGTTATTTATAAAATATCAGTCTACCAAATGACTTGAAGGACGTTAACTCGATTTTATGTAGCCACGATGATTCCACGTAGGTATGGCCTGATGATTTGTGCGCTCGATGCATTGGGCTATCTTGCCTTCAGACTGGAGACGTTGGAGCCCAGCCATTTACTTCATTTACTTATGGCTTGGCATGTCCGAGGTGGTCAACAATAGTGGAGAGCTATTAATGAATCATTTGGCTGACAATTCAGGGTCTCTGTCAACTATATACTTTAGACACATCGTCGGTCAGTCTACGATTCATATAGGTATCTAAAGGTACTCTTCAAGCATATGTGGTGAGTAATATGTGACCTAGGCAGCAAAAGAATAGGTGGCGGTCAAACAAAGCCACACCACCGCGCTCTTACCGTGTTTTCTCGGCATAAAGTGAAGCTTACCCTGCGTTTGCTCTTTGTACCTGCTGATACATAACTGGGTGCCTACTACACTACTCGTTACACCTCACTTACTTCAATCACTCTACACCCTCAAATCTCTTGCACGCCTCAGCTCAACATTTGTACAAGACCACAGATTATCACAACAGTCACGAAATACATCACCACCATGTTCTTCAGCACCTTCGCCAATCTCTTATCGTGAGCAACTACCACCCCGCCTTCCTCTTGCCCCTCTACCGCGGTACAAACGGAATGCTAACTAGCATCGCAGCTCCATTCCAACGTTTGTCTTCCCAGTATTCGCATCGTACAAAGCTTTGAAAACCACTGATCCTGCGCTATTGACACCATGGCTCATGTACTGGGTTGTACTGGCTTGCGCTCTTCTCGCTGAGTCTTGGGTCGGCTTCATCTTGTTCTGGTAAGAAAGTCCCCCATTCTGCTCCATATCGTCCGACAGGTACTGATCATGTATGTAGGATTCCCTTTTACTCCTGGTTCCGACTGTTCTTTCTCTTATACCTGATCCTCCCACAAACACAAGGCGCGCGGGTTCTCTATCAAGAGCATGTACACCCGTTTCTAGAGAAGAACGAGCTTGCGATTGACGACTTCATATCCTCTGCTCATGACCGTGCAAAGGCACTTGGACTTCTATATCTCAAGCAAGGCATCGATTTGGTAAAGCAGGCTGTGTTTGGCATCCAGCCCAAGGAGCCTACTCCTCCATCTACACCAACGACATTCTCTTATGCACAAAGCCTGATCTCACGATTCAATCTGCCAGCAGCCCGACCTACCACCGCAACAACAAGCTCTGCGAACGACTTTTACTCTCTTTTGGGATCAGCAGTAAGCGCTGCGACCACGACTGCTAGCGGCAAACAAACCCGCGATCTTTCGAACTCTGGCGTACTAATTCCGCCTTCTGTTGATGGAGACGATCGTCTTTCTTTCATCACAGCACAGCGAGAGCGATTGTCTATCCTTCTCTCAGCTCTCGACAAGGAGGCGAATACACTACAAAATAAGCGACTGAAAAGCCGTGGAGGAATGTTTGATGGTGCTGGGAGCATTGAGGACGATGCTGAGAGACCCAGGAGCTCCGCGAGTGTTCTAAGTGGTATGAGCACAAGAAAGAGCGAGATCGACTTTGAGAAGATCGACATTGAGAGTGGATCTGAGGAGGTTGAATCGCAGAGAAGAAAGGCTAGAAGAAGCCAGAGCGGAAGTTGGATGCCTTGGGGCTGGGGAGCAAAGGCAGAGGCTTCTGTTGATACTGTGGTATGTTACACCTCATTCTCCGATCGAAGCCTTATGCAATAAGCATGATACGACCACAGCGCACTAACAAATAATAGATGACTGGACAATCTGAGCATGACCAAGGAAGGAGCACAGGTCTTGAATACTAAGCAAATGGTGTATCATGCACGGCGTTACATGGATTGGAGAATTGGAGTTCGGTGATGTTTACAGGAGGCGAGACGATCGGGATACAGTTGCTTTGGAGTAGACTTAGGGCCACACGGTCTATGATGCTGGGATGGAGCTTTGGAACATTGTCATTTACAGACTTACAATGCAGTCGACCGCTTGACTACAAGCATCAATATTTTCTCAGATTCTTTCCTCTCCCGTATCACCAAGAGCTGTACAGCTCAGAGAAATTTCAGCTGCATGTTCACTTGAGTACTTTGATCACAAAAGCGAACGAGCTTCCAGTTCCGAGCTTTATAGTAGCATATCTCCCATCAAAACAGCAAGAGGTAAGTCCCGTTATTTTCTAGTTCTGGGATGCTCACGTGATTACCCCACGAACGCGGATCTTGATGTTTCTTTACTACCACTGACCACTGAGTTATCCGGTTTTTAGATGTATATAGAAAATGCTGGCAATTAGCCCAGCACGTCCTACTGTTGGCACGTGGCATTCAGCGCACGGACCCCGAACGTTAATTATACTACTACTAATTACTACGACTGAGTTTCTATCTTCACAAGAAACGACGCGGAGGCGCTGCCTTGACTTGAAACCATTGCGAGCTAGTAGCACGAGCCATGCATCATGATGGGAGGTCTAATTGATAAGCAAAAGTCCGTTGTTGCCAAGAGAGCTTGTACGACATGCCGTAAGTTGTTCCCACCTCAGCAGATCTAGCAAACTTTTGGACGCTCCATTGTCGAGGCGCTTTTCATCACTCGACAGAAGGGATATCCAAAGAATTGTTTATGCTGTTTCGTGTTTCTCGAATGAATAACTAACATTGATCTTCAGGTCAATCCAAGGTTAGACGTACGCTCCACTTGATGAGATCGGATGCTTACCGTGAGACTACCTAGATAAAATGTAACTCGTCAGAGACGTTTCCAGCGCCATGCTCGAACTGTCAAAGATTAAGAAAGGAATGTAGAAGTGATTCTACATTCAGGCGAAAGCCTGTGAGAGGGTGAGTCGCGCGGTTGGAGAAGGTTGATCAGTAGGAATGGTGACCTAAATGTGACCTAGTCGTTTGGAAGAAGTCGAAAGACAGCTCGACAGGATCAAGCGCGCACAGAGTCACCAAGAAGATGTCTCAATGTCACCACCCGCTCTAGTAAACCAGTCTGTCACACCGACATCTAGTCGGAACGGCAACTATGGTGTGGCTCTCGACACGTCTCATGCGTTTGGACTCGGCGACGAGACATTGGATCCCAGCATCATTTCGCCTCAGAGCCTGGATGACTACAAACTAGATAGTAATAGCATTGCTACGTCGTTCAGAAAGTACAGATATGCAACCAGGGTGCGACTGTTTGCTGATTGGACGCAGATTCTCTACCCACTACTTACCGCATTTTCCGATACTAGATACGAGGATGTCCGTGAACATCCTTCATCAGACAAACCCATTACTGTTCTGGGCAATTGTCCTCATCTCCTCGCGCCATGAAGAAAACCTGGCTGAAGCATATAAGAACCTGCTTTCTAGACAACTCATCGAGCCCATTCGTTCATTATATACTATCCATGCACTACTGATATACTGCCTCTGGCCAATACCATCCAGAAAGCAGATCTTAGATTCTAGCTGGAACTACTGTGGCTTTGCAGTCAGCGCTGCCATTCGTATGGGATTGCATCAATCTGATGCTACCTGGGAATATGATTTCAGCCAGTTTTCTGCCCAAGACATTGAGATCCGGAGGAGGACGTGGCTTGGCTGCTTCATAGTCAGTACCTAGTATGCAACCAGCGCTCACACCCAAGTCAAAGAAGGCTAACATAGCACTCAGTCTATCTTCTGATCTTGGCCTTCCAAGCGTCATCGGACCAGCCATGGAACTCGATGCTCCCCTCAAAGCGCCCTCGACCCGCGACCCTCTGGCCATCCAATTCGAAATCGAGTGCCACGTCGCACGCTTCTCCGCAACCATGAATCAACGCAGCGGTTCCACAGTCCGGAGCTCCCTCATTCACATGTTCGACTCGGAACTTCTCATTATCAGCGCCGAAGTCCTCGCAACGCAAAACCCCATCCTCGAGATCCTCTTCCTCGGCGCCCGCTTGTCGCTCTATTCCTTCGCCCTCCTCGGCGAAACGGCCTCCAGAACCGACGCCCACCACGTCGACGTCTCGACGCGCGCGATCTGGTATCTCGGCTTCGAAGTTGCCATTCGTCTAACGCACCTCTACAACTCCACCGCCGAGCCGCCGCACTACGCGTACCCGAAACACCATTTCTGGATCCTGCTCTCCTCGGGCTACTACCTCCTCAAATTTCTGTCCATCAACACGAACGTCACGTCGTCAGAAAGCGAGCTGGCGCGGAATAGCATCAGGCTTGTCTACTCGACACTGCAGACCTGGTCGCTGCAGCCGCTCGATGAGCCCTGGCGCGTCGCGCGCATCATCTCGCTACTGGCAAACGCGGAGCTACAGAGTACGCTGCATCAGTATCAGAGGCTGAATCGGCGGGTGCCGTTGAGTATCGTCGCTGATGTGATGGAGATGACGGCTTGGCTGCGCGCGAAACTGAAGAAAGAGGGGAAGGGGAAGGAGGCGATGAGTACAAGTGAGTTGAATGCTGCCGGTGATGTGGTTGCTGCTGATGGTGAGATCGGCGGAGGCGTGTTGGCGGGGACGGCGACGGTCATGGAGCCGGTGTTGTTGGATGATGATGCGTTGTGGGAGGGACTGGATGAGTGGTTGCGGTGGGAGAGCGATATTGGTGGCAATTTCTTGCTGCCGTATTCTGATGAGCCGTTTGTTAGCTAGATATAAAGACATAAATACAATAACTCATTCGCAAGCTACTTTTTTCCCTTTCCGTTCAATGCCGCTCTTTGACTCTGTGAGCCTCGACACCTTCCAAGAGCCGTAGACTCGGCAACTTATTTATTTCCTCCCACTTTTGGTAGGATAAATATAATTATTTTTATGAACTCTATTAACATAAATCAGCCAATCAGATTCATCCTCTATGGCGCAATGGTAGCGCGTCAGACTGTTATAATAATATTAGGCATCTGTAGGTTCTAAGTTCGAGTCTTAGTGGGGGAGATCTTGTCAGTTTCCGTACGCTTTAAAATTTTGAGTGTAATTTTTGGTCTCATCCTCGAAGGCAGAAGCTGCATTTGTGATGAAATATAATTATGTTCTATTTTTACAGTTACCCAACATTTTTGACCTATTTAAGCGAGAAATGAGAAATGAACAGAGAAAGAAGCCCTGGAAGTAGCAACTGAGATACCTACGAAAGACTTTTTTGATATTGTATAGGTTCGCGTAGAACCTTTTAGATTTGAGTCGTAACACTATACCGATATCAATCGTTGAGCTCGCAGAGCATTACAGCAGCACTGTGTGATTATCCAACTAATCAGCTCATCATCCTCATTATGTTCAGAAGTAGTCCAATATACATAGACCACATGAGTAGCATTACGGCCACAAAATCTTCGCAAGCCACTCATTATACCCTTTCTCACCCCACATCTTACTCTTCCCATCATCAAATCTCACGCCCTCCACCTCTGGGCAGTCCGACCCCCGAAACCACGTCCCACCGCCCACATACGAGAACAGCGGCGAGTATTCTCCGGCCACCGGCTTGACTGTCTCTTTCATCAGACGGATTCTTGGGCAGGTCAATGTGAGAGACTCGATGAAAGGCAATCGGGCGCCTTGTTCGCTCGTCATCATATCCTCACTTCATGCTACCATCTCAGGGATCACGACGGCTGTTCCTAATATCGCAAGTCAGTACGCCGTAACCAACATAAGGCGAGATAAAAAAAAATACAGCTTCAATAGCGTAGCGAAAGCAATTCAAGAAGATGTTGCGAACATTTCCCATGCCGCCAGTGCCAGGATTGCATTTGATCGTGACCCCTTCCAACCATTCCTTCTGGCCACACATTGCGCTGAGCGGCCCGCTATTAAACGGCCCATCGATCTCAGAGCCCAAAACGTCTTTAACAAACGCCTCCTTGTCGCCCCATTGCTGACTGCCGGAAAACGCCGTTCAGAATAGCAAAGCGCTCGGAAGTAATCGTAGAGACACAGTAAACAAACGCTAGCAGTAACAAGGCAATGGGGATGATAAAGTTCGGCGCAAAGCAAGTTCGGCGCAAAACGAGTTTGCGGCCGTTGGGGGAGCGTCAACACAAAGGGGCTGTTGATATTTCTTCGGTCAGACTTTGGCCGCCGCCAAAGTAGAGAGCCGTCGAATAGCCCCATTAGAGAATCATATAAAGAGCATAGTATAACTGCTTTCATAACTACAAGTGCAAACAGTCCGTCTTGAAACAAAGATCGAGGAATGAAGGCGGAATGTTGGAAAAGAAGATGCAATGTTGACTTGACTTGGCTTGCTGGCCCGTTGGTACTTATCTACGGTCTGCTCCGATATTAATATTAACCACTCAGAAAGTGCGTGCTCATCCTGAAGCAGCTCACTCGCTCTTCCCTTGCAGTCGTTTTCCGAAGGGAAAAGCATGGCCCAACGCATTTGAGAGATGGCTTGGAATAGTAATTGGGCTTCTGACAATCGCCTTGAATGGCAAAAGTTAAGTCTACCAAGCGCAAAAAAGAACACACATTCAAGTTCCGTCTGTGCGCTAACTAAATTGGCTTAGCTTCTTGGTAAGGATAATTATCACGTGACAGACACTGGGCCGCGTGGCAGCTTACGAGAAGCGTTCAAGCAAGATTTCTCATTACGACAATGTGTGAAATTGAGTTTGAAATACAAAGGGGGTGGGCTGTATATCAGCTCGGGAGCATTGGACCTTAGCAGAGTGGAGGACTTATGTAGTAAGATGAGTGTTCTGCTGAGAGGGAAAAGGCTAAAGTGGTGAATGGGTCTTTCGTACTGCCCAAGTAGTTCGACAGTGGCTCACGAATATGGCGATTCCTTTGGTCAACTGGCCCCCGTATTCACCTGATTTGAACCTGATTGAGCACATCTGGCACCACCCGAAAAAGCTTGTTCTACAAACTCACCCCGAACTACAGAATATTGGCAGAGGGGACGACGCTATAAAGGCTCTACAGGGCGCTTTAAAAGCGACTTAGAAGGCCCTTCCTAATAGTTTATTTGAGCAGGTAGCAGATAGTATGTCCCACCGGGTAGCTGCGGTAATCGAGGCAAAGGGCTGGCATACCAAGTACTAAATGAAAAGCCCTCTTTCAGAATGAAAGAATATTGAATTTAGAGGGATATGTTCTAAAAATCCACGGGTTACGATTTTTAGTGATTTATCAAAATGTGCTTAAGTTTATGGGTGTACATGTTGATTTTGGTGGGGGATTCAATCGTTTGATCTAGCGATTGTGCCGGATGGACAAGTATTTTAAGATCTGCATCACGTTTAAGACGCGTACACAGGCTATTAAAAGAGCTGTTCCTGTGCGAAGGATCTCAATCCTCTTGGATACAGAAGCAATGGTCATATCGCTCTACTAAAGCCTCAATCTCTTGCATATGCTTAGGAAGGATCTCCTTAGCATGAATTATTGTGACATGGCGTTTCCCTTAGGTATACTACAACCTCTGCTGCTGGCCGTGCTACCTCCTACTCTTCCACTTGCTTCTTGTACCCTTCATCGGTCTGGTACATGGTTTTCCGTGGCCTACGCGGTGTAGGTATTCTGGGATGGCTCCTTTGGATCCTTGTAGAAAATGAGCCTGCCTCTGTTGTTGTACGACACTCCGGCGGCTACATGTATTGTGACGTCTAAACCAGAGATCTTTGTCTCTTTAAGAGAACTTTCTTGCCATGGGTAACTAAGCTCATTTCCGCGGCATTCTGGAGCTTCAATGACTGGAAGTATACCTCATCCGTAGACCATATACATTTCCAGAAGCCAGTAAGGGTCGCTTCTTCGTGCTCTTTGCCATATTGGACGCCTTTTGGCTTGTTCGACTTAGAGATTTGAGAAGGACAGGGCTTCTTGTACCGACACACACGACTCCGAGCAGTATGGCGCTGCAAAGTACGCGCAGAAGGCTTTTTTCGAGCGTTTTGGCCTCTTTCTGGTATGGCTGTTCGTGAGGGGAGTCGTTCGAGTTCGTTACTTTTGCGATATCAGATGCAGATACCTTGGCTTTTTGCCCGATCCTATTCTCTCTGGTCCTCCTGAATGCAGGAGATCCAATTAAATCGTGTTGTGAAGGCCATCCGCGCGTTGTACGCGGTGGTAGGGTGAAGCCTAAAGATTTACAGATCCGGCCGATAGAAGCTTCGTTTTCTTTGGAACAAAAGACATCAAAGAAACGAGCGCGCTTGATAATTTCGTACTTGCTCGTCTGAGGTGAATGAGGAGGCGTTGGCGTAGCCATAATATGGTAGCAAAGAAGTTGCATTATTGATATTTTGAAGTTGGGTGGCCTCTGCGCGGTCAATGCTCCCTGGTTGTACAAACAAGGCAGACTCAGATGGGAGCGATATAAGAATCCCTCCACCAAAAGCGCCCACATGAATCAGGTTGCGAGGCACACGGTTCATTTCGCGAACAAGCTTAATTATCCACGAAGCACCAACGCCTCTATGCATTGACTGCTCATGTCCCAGCAAAATGTTTGTACATGCCATGATACCCCTATTGCGCGTTTCTGCTCGTCTCTTCGCGTCCAAGGAGAGGCTCAGCTGAGCCTTGTGGAAGCTCTAGGACGCTTAGGGGCTTAGCTTGTATCATGACAGCCCATCGTGAGGTACAAATATAAGGATGCCGTCGCCCGTCTGGTCGATAGTCATGATATATGACCACTCATATTGGACCAAATACCAAACACCATACACCAAACACCAAACAAATCCCAGCAGCAATATCTTCCGACGCGCCGACTCCAAACATTTCTGTCGCTACTCACACACCCCCCCAAAAAAACTCTGAAGATGCGCATCACCTTCTCCACCCTCGCACTAACGGCGCTCACATCCTCAGTCCTAAGCTCGCCGCTCCCCCAAGCCAAAATCTTCCCCCGCCTGGATGACGTGCTCGAGCGTCCCACGCAACCCATCCCGAGCCCCAGCGCACCGACGCCCAGCCCGCCAGCTCCTACGGCTGCGTTGGCGGCTCTGCTCCCACAGCGGCTCGCGGCGCGCAGGATCATTCCCACGGAGAATCCGCGACACAGGAGGGCTGCGATTCCGTATGAGGCGCTGCATATATTGCACTCTGAAGTCGACTATCGCAACATGAACTGAGTGCGTTACAGCTTGGCATATGCTTCTTTTGGGGAGGATGTGAACCGTGGTTAGAATTTGGATGGACATGACGTTATATGATCTCGGCTTTGGACTGCCTTTCGCCACGAGAAAATGGGAGGACATCGACCAGAATAGGGTGGATTGAAGGAACACCACTGTTTCGACCCTTAAGTGGAGACCACTGAGCCCAAGGCAAATGGATTTGCAAAGAAGCAATTAGCAACGGGAGAATGACCATTTGGGAGCTGGGGAAATATCCTGGCTAGAAGTGCAATTTACGGCAGGTAGTGTGATTTATGGGAGGAAGCTGGAGGCTTTGAGCCCAGCATGTACTATGATCAGAGTGCTGGAGGCGCGTCTCGGTATTTTAGAGACGGCGAAGACTTTGAAGATCATATAGAGCGCTAAAGAAAGACATCGCATTGCGGTGCCAGTTTTTGAGGCGATTGAACACATAGTTGACGTGTAGGCAATACTAGTTCTATGGATGCTTTTTGTTACAATCTAAAAGCGTCTAAACATACATCACTCCACCTTGTATACTAGCTCTTCAAGTCTTTCTCTTCAACAAGCCCTTCATGAAATCGAAACTATTGCTATCACTCTGCAACTCCCACATCCTCCCCGTAGGCCTGTCTTCCCATCCCAACTCCTCAGCCTTCAACTGTCCCCAATCCCTCGTGATGCCCTTGATCCGCGCTCTCACACCGCCTTCCTGCTCCAGCGTCACAATCTGGTCAGTATGCAGCCAGTGTTTATAATACATCTCCTCCAGGTCGCGGTTGAACCCGGTCCGACAGAAGCTGTTGTATATCGTCTCGAACTTCGTCAGGATGCGAGCGAGAA